GCCCCCTCGGCTGAGCCTCCCCCTCAGGCCCGCCTACCTTTTCTCTCACTGGCCCCGCCCCCTTCTCTCGCGTCCCCTCCCGCTCCCGCGGGCCAGCCGGGAGCTGAAGTCCCGCTCTGGGCTCAAGCTGGGAGCGCAACCGCGACCCGGACGCTAGGAAACCACACTTCCCATAATGCTGCGCACTTTCTTCCATGACGCTCAGCGGTCGCGGATGCGAAGCGCGAGGCCCCACGCCGAGCACGCGCATTCCGTCTCGGCGCCTACTGCCCCCTGCTGGCGGAGGTGAGGTAGCGCTGGAAGATGCCGAGCTCAGGGGCCGCCCCAACCCCGGGACCGGAACACAGCGGACGTGAAGGGTGCAGGTTGCCTAAGATTTAAAGGAGATCTGAGGGAGAACGCTCGTTTTCAGCCACGCCGAACTTCCTTCTGCCGAATGCCAGTCTCGTGTAGGGGATGGGAGCTTGCTGCCGTCTCCTTGGCCCGAAGTGCAGGGCGAGGCAGCCCAGTTACCTGTGTCTTCAGGAAAGACTCATCAAGTGTCATCAGTTCTGGTGCAGGCGGGCCCGGCTCTCTGCCTGGTTCCGCTAGGAAGTCCGGAGGAGTAAGGCCGCGCCCAGGGGATCTGGCCGTGGAGACGGGCAGCTACGGTCCAATGGAGGGTAAAACCCCACGTGCCCCGGTTTCGAACGGGCGCGGGGAGGCTGCGAGCAGCACAGGTGCGCGCACCTGCAGTGGGACCCGGGCAGCAGAGGCGGTGTCTTAGGCACGTCAGCACCAGTTTAATTCCAGCAAAACGATCCTCTATTAAAATGACTGGCTTTTTATTGGATTGTTTTGTCGTAGGGTCTGTACTAGATTAGATTTTAAAATTTCTTTTGTATAAAAGCGATGAGCCTAAGGATATAAATTCCTTACGTTTGTACTATTTAAGGAAAATATGAAAAACAATTAATACGAGGTCAGAAGTCATTTGTCCCTTCAAAGATATTTGCATATTCGTTAGTTATCGATTGCTAGCTAACAAATTACCCCAAAACTCTTTTTAAAGAAAACAACAATAATCATTTACTATGTCTCACGGTTTCTGTGAATCTGGAATGTGGGAGCCGAGTTCTGGCTCGGGGTCTCCCACAAGGTTGCAGGCTGCGCCGTTTCCTAGGCGGCTCACTTCCAGAGCTGCCGAGCTGGTGTTCTCTTCGGCCTAACTGGGCCTCTCCAGCAAGCTGCCTTATTATCCCCTCCCCTGGCGACCTGCTTCCCCAAGAGCTGGAGACCCAAGAGACCACTGCAGGTGGTCGCTGCCCCTTATGATGAATCCCTGGAAGACACACACTGTCACTTATGTAGATTCTATTGGTCACACAGACGGGCTCAGATTCACTTGGGAGGGACCCCAGAGGTGGAATACTAGGAGGCAGAGATGATTGGGGGACATATTAGGGGCTGGTTACCCCAGGCTATAGTGCAAATTTGAGGAACACTACTGTTTCTTAACAGCAGGGGAGTCTTTAGGACCCCTACATACTCACCATGGCCCCTGAAGACCCCGAAGACAAGAAACAGCAATTTGTCATTCTTGCGGGAAAGGTGGAATTAGTAGCCTGAGATCCTTGTGACTTATGAGCAAATGTCATCAAGACCTGAGTGCCCCTTTCCCAGGGGCAACTATGCACACATTGCAATAAGGAAGGAGAATATGTAGTGGCTACAAATGTTTTGTTAGACATTCTTCTTTGTTTAGAAAGTCTGCTGA